TCTCAGAATATCCAGGGGAATAATACCTGCAAGAGAAACATTTTATTTGTGCATTAGACTACAAGGCATATTCTGTGTTCAGTAATGAAACACTATTCATATTTCTAGTGATCAGGAAAAAATCCTAGCATTAAACACTGGTCAAGGAATTCTACAGTTACTCCCCTACAATGTTTTAAGAACCTGCTTCTCAACTTATGTCATCAGTTATACTTGAAAGTTACGTTTTCAAAAATCTGTTTAGCTTCTTTTAGGGCATGTAGGTAAGTGGCTAGTTTTTAGATTGAAATAAGCATTGTCTTTGCTGAGAATGTAGATGTTAACTTCTTTTGACATTCTAGCCTTTAATAAAAAAGCATGAGTTTACACAGAACCATAGGCTGCCAGATGACAACAGTCTACTGCTGTTCATCAGACACAAGCACACACCCCAAATCTAAAGTGAAGTCTGCATCAATGCATGAGACGTTGGTTCTGGAACAAAAAAAAAAAAATTTTCACAATGACCTTCTGTCTCTAATGCCAACTCAAGGACAGAGATTATCCAATAGGTTTTCATTAGAGTAGGACTCTATGGTGCCATTATTGTCCTGCTGTCATTCAGTTGGTTTTCCACAATGGACCAACTACATGCTTCTGATATGCAAACATCACCAAAGCTGCATTTCATCCTTGTATTCCAGTTTAAGAGTATCTGAAATTTATTACTGTGTTATTCTAAAAAGATACATCTATGTACATTTCTGGTTTTGCAGGCATGTAAATTGTCATCTCTGAGTCCTAAAAGCTTTAATTATAAAGAGAGGGGAACACACTTCCATGTAATGCATGCCTAAAATGTATTAAAGTAGAAATCCCCAATGTTTCACACTGAAGGAAGATCCATTTCCTTTGTTTATTTTCACTTTCTGGATGACTTCTGCATAATGTTAGTTCTCATGTTAGTTCTCTGATTGTAAAGTCAACTTTTCAATGCATTATTATATTCAGTCTGCAAACAGCCTAAAATACCAGGTCTCCAGGACAAACCCAAACCCAGAGCCTATTACAGCAGCTGTGCCTCAGGCAGCACAACCAACATCAGGCAGCAGGACAAAGAGGCAAGCAGGAGATGCTCGAAGGGGCCCTTTTTTTTATTACATCCCAGCCTACATGAGTAACCTAATTTCATTTACAGGGGAAAAAAACAGCTGTAAAAAAGAAACATTAATTATATCCAGAAAAGTGTAAGTAAATGTCCTCTTTCCCTCTGAACTAAAAGATGAAGAATTAAGTTTATTTATGATTTTGCCTTTACCCATTTGATAGCCACTGGCTGTTCCTCGTGGAGACAAACAGGGCTTCATTTTGCATGACTTAGTTTGTAGCTACCATTAGCTGAAGAACTCTGTTGCTATAATTAAAATTGATGATGCAGATTTTCAGAGCTTGTAGAGGGAGTGCAGGAGTACAACATCCTTTTGATGTGTTGATGGACTGAAGGACTGGTAAATGGGTATCTAGAATCTAGGAGGGCATTTCTCTCATTATTACAATTTAGGATGGTGACATTTTGACTGTAAGCTATTTAATAGTGTTTCTGTATTCATTAAGGGCAAAGTTCAACTTGGTGCAGACAGCTGGTGTATGGTCCTTTTATATAACACTTAAGCCTCATGATGAGGCTGGGGGAGAAAGGGCAGCTGTGGGCAGAGCAAGTGCTCAGGAGAGCCACTGGACCCTCTGTACATCAGAGGAAGTTTCAAAGGAGCCTCTGAATACACTAGCTCAGACAGGCTCTTGGGGAAGTCTAGGATGCAACCAAAGATTCACCAATACTTGTAATCTGGAGCCTGAGTAATCCATAAACAAGTTACCAAGACAAATTAAACTTCTCAGACATGCGTTAATATGAGAGCGGTTGTGCTGAAGCCTTGGAGTCTGTCTGAGTAGTGCAGCCTTGATTATAATTCCCAGTTTCCTGCAAGAGCCTGATTATTTGGGCTTAGTTTACAGACAAAGAAATTTGATTCAAAAACAATCAGAAAAGAGAAAGTGTTCAAAAGTATGTCTAGTAGTTGTGTTACCAATTAATGAAATGTTATGCTGATTTATTAAAAACCAAATTAATATAGAAGTAAAATTAATATTTTAAGTCCTTGCTTTGTGTTTTTCCTGTGAAAAACAACTAACAGTGTTGTAAGTATTAATTCTTTAAGTTCCATTTTCCCTACCTCACTATTTCCTCCGGATAACAATTGTTAATAACGTTGATATATTCCTGAAGAAGTGACCCAGGTTCTGCTTTTATTTCTTGAACCTTTTTAAGTCCACCAGTTGTTACAAAGAGACGACGTGCTTTACTGTCGTGTGGTAACACCTACACACAGAGAAGTACATTAAAAAAATTTTTTCCTTTAAAAGAATCTCTATGCTACTAGGCTCAAATATTGCTTATCTGTTTTTAATTCCAAGGACAAATAAAACTGGAACATCAGAGGTACAACATCTGTAATGACCACTGTATTTTAACACCCAGTTGTACAGCAAAAAAATCACAAACCAGCCCTTTACAGCTATAACATAATTTAACATGTACTTTAATATAGAACATATATAAAAATAATTAATGTTTATCTTTACATAAATAATATTTCTTGAATTATTTCTATAGAGACAATAAAATTGCAGGGATTAAATAAATAATAAAAACAGAACACTGACATGGAATAACAACAGCATCTGTTTCACTTGAACCAAGTTATTCAGGTCTTTTATGTCAATTCCCACAGTTTAATTGTAGAGCAGAATTTTATATCATTATAATGATCTAGTATAGATTAGTGCATGGAAACAATACTGAGAATTGTTGCAAGTGAACAATGCAGCCTTGAAGCATTACATGCTACTATTAAATTCCTAGATATTAAAATCCTACAACACACTGTGTAGCCATGGAAGCCTTTTACAAACACACACACAAAGCAAAAATGTGAAGTTTCTGCAGCCAAAGGGGATAAGAAGCAGAACTGATCAGACAATACATTCTGTGCTCCCTGAGTGATGCCAATATGCAGCTCTGTCCAGAGGATGGGAGGGAGGGAGGAGGGAGGGAGGGAGGTGGGGGCTGGGCCAGGCAAGGCAGAATGACAGCGTGTAGTCCATAGGCCCACAGGGCTGCAATAATATTAAAAAAAAAAAAAAAAGGAAGGAAGGAAAAAAGAAAGAGAGAGATAATGCAAGATGTCAGCTGCATCTGCAACAAAACCAGATGGGTTTAAAACCAACTCTGAGAGTTACATACTATGGGGGCAAAAGCACTTTGCAAGCTGTCACACTGGTCAGACAAATCAAGCCATAAATTCAGCTGTATCTCAGTGTAAAACGAGAGCCTCAGAGGAGGAAGGGATTGCCTAAAATGATGAAGGAAAGGATGAGATTTCTGCCATGCATATAGGCGAACAGCCTGCATTTCTCTGCTCCCTCTAGGCTGTACAAAATCAACAGACAGGTCAAGAAACAACGGGGGAGGATAGGGACTTCTCCCTGTGATATGCTGCATGGAAGTGTCAGTAAAAACTGGGATCATTTTGTTGTAGGAAATGAAAAGAGCTGTTTCCACATATCTCCCACAGCAAGAACTGCCAAGGAGGAACTAGCAAGGAGACAGGATATGGGCCTTTCCCTGCCTTCCTCCTCCACACTGTGACTTCCAGGCTGGGTAAGACAGCAGAAAACCCTCTTGGAAGAGGCTCTGAAGACGGACAGCACCTCTGAGACGTAATTCCTTCCCCTCAGGTCAAACTGAGACAGCAGAGAATTGCACAGACCCTGAAAATGATAATGCTAAAATGACACAGTCCAGCACTGAGAACGGATAGCATCCCACTCTGAAGCACAGCTCAGGAATAAGGCTTTTACTGTGCTATAAATAAGCCTACAGTAATAATACACCACAGCTCTAAGAATAGGAAATTCCCAAGCTATGGTACAGGAGAGAAAAATGCTTTTACTGCAGAGAACTTAATTTTAAACATATACTTCAGAAGAGGAAATGCCAGACAAGTATGGTTTGTTTAATCCAATGTAGGAGAAGAAAAACAAAACATCAGCTGATACAAAGGGTACAAAGCCGCTTCAACAGCAAATAATATTAAAATCGATACACTGTGTAACCAATTACTATGCACTCAGCTCATTAATAGCTCCAGTCAGCACAGAGAAGCAAAAGGCATTAGATTCTGTGCACATATCCAATCTTTGTACAGGCCTAGTAAGAAGACAGGACAAACCTAAGTGTGGCAATGTGATCAGGAATCTGCACTACAAACAGTAGTGCTTCCAGATCAGTGATAATCAGAACTAAGTATAGAGTGTTTTACTTGGCCATTTCCAGAAAGAAGATCTCACCAAGAGAGCCTGGTACCCCCTGCTAACACATTACACTGCAGTGTTGCACAAACAATAGTCTATAGTTGAGCAAGACTCCCAACAGCTGGTGAACACTGTAGACACTGGAAACCTCCTGATTAGTTAGCAATGACTTAAATAATTTTAAATATTTAATTATGTCACTTTTTACATCCTGTGCTCAAATCAACAATGTAATTAACAAGTTTCAAATTTTGAGAGGGATGAGAAAAGATTTGGGATTTTTACACTTAATTGAGAGTGAAAATTAATAAGGATAAAAGTGGTGAAGTTTTTATAATCTAGATTATTGTAAAATACTTTACTTGACTCCTGTACAGACAGCTTGTACTTTATCTAAACCAGATGTGACTGGGATTTATGTGATACATTGGCTCAGTGAAAATATTTGCACGTGAGTTAATATTCCACTTAATCTCAAGAGGCAAGGAAGGAAAAAACACCTTGCTTATAAGCAACTGTTTCCCCAGTCTAAGGATGAATTATGGCAGATTCCAGATGAAACAATATCCAGTTTTATCAGACAAAAGAATGGGATGCTCCAAACTGCTTCCATAGGTGATGCTTGAAGATCCTGAGAAAACAACTGAGACCTTTAGAGAGACTTCATATTTGAAAAGATAGCTTCCTTGCTGAATGGAAAACGATTAACATACTACTCATCAAGTAGAGCCTTTCCTTACCTTACTAAACTGCGCAATGATGTGTTTCATAATATTGGGAGGGGCATCATGCAGCAATGGTTCAAGTGCTGGAAGATGCATGCACTTCTTAAGGATGTTCTTTAAGGCTTTTTTAGTCTATTGAAATGCAAAATAAAATTTATGTCACAAGATATCAATGAAAATATCAACAACTCATGTTATGTATCACTGAAGTCTGGTTGAAAAAAGCGCAAATTGATCAGAATTCTCAAAGAGTATTTTCTGAACAAAAACTATTATATCTATCAGGTCACTTAATGAAGAATCAATTTTCTACTTAAATTTATTAAATCTCAAAAACTACAGTGCATCATATTCTTATTACATTATCTATGGTCAAAGTAATGGCAATTTTCCTTTGACTACAGTGGAAGCAGAAGTAGGCTGAAGTAAACTGAAGTACTGTAACGTAAGAAAAAAGCTATATCAAAACACATTTTGAAAGATTGTATGTTAGAAGTGGGTTTCTAGGAGAGTCTGCTGGTCTGGGCTAGCACATTGCACAGTGCACTGCCTTCAGGCAGGGAGGAGAAGAGCTAGTGAAACAGCTGAGTATCAGTGCTTAGTTTCTGAAAACAGGCTCATTGTTGGCTGCTACCAGCAGTTAACAACCTTCTTGGCTAAGATTATAGGTACAGCCAATTTGGCCTTGAGATTTTGGTGACCACTGAAAAGGACTATGCAAAAGTTATTTTATACATCTGGAGCATTATGCTTCAATGGAAAGTACAGAAGCATAGGACAACATGGGAGACCATATCCTGTCATATTATACTCCTCAGTTGGGTCACAAACTGTTGTTCAGAAATATAATTTACCAAGCTGCAACTCTACTAGCTCTCACACAAGGAAGGTCCTAATCATGAAGAGTTGCCTGTTTTCAAGAGCAGAGCTTTGAGTATTTGTTACAGCTTTATTAATATCATAAAAATCTAAGCAAACCTACAAGGGCTATAATATTTTGTACAAGTGCTCCTACTTAAAAAAAACCCCAGATATTAGAAATCAGTCACTCACAAGAAATTACAGCATTTGTGGGTATACACAACTCTGATCTAAACTGGGGGGAAAAAAAGAGGGATTAGACTGCTGTGGCTGTACCATACGATTTGGTAGGCACCATATGCACACCCAGTGGGACCAGCAGCTCCTAATAAATGACACACAACCCTTGGACACCCTACACTCAGGAAATCCATGACATAATGAACATCAATAAAAACAGATACCATTTAGTAGTTTTTAAGTACTTGTGTGTGTTGATTACAACAAATCTCTCATACTGCAAATATTAAACATATACTTGCTTTCATTTGAAGATCTTCTGAACTGTGTGTGTCCATATACATAGCAAGTAGTGTGGGTAGCACATTTGCTATTGCAACAGCACGTGCATGCTCAGGAGTATGTTTTCCAATCTGTTCCAAGGCCCAGGCAGCTGCTGCCTTAATATGATCTTCATTTTCTTCTACCAAGCAGGCACACAGTGTTGGTATTCCCTGTAGCATTAATCAAAAGCACAACCTTTACAAATCTACACTAGGGAAGGACAACTCGAAACTGATACTGATTGTTAGACAATGTTTCTCTACTTACACTCTTCTAAAATAAGCTAGAAGAGAATGCATGCTACTGGTGTCATACAACCATGACTAGCAAGAATAATAAATCTAGTTAAAGAAAGAGAGAAAAAGATACAATGTTCTAACTCAGAAGGCAGTTTGAGCTAACAGACACATTTAAGGCATAAATAAAGGAATGCATTACATGACTCAGGCTATACTAAGACTAAAGGCTTCCATTTTGTCAGATTGAAAATAAAATAATTTGAGTGTTTATACATCTATGAAAGCAGTTCAAGACCAGAAGGAGTCCATCGTGTCTGGCTCCGTTATTGACTTTATTTCAACTTATCAACCTCTTCTTGAGTCTACTACTTCATCCAATCCAATCTCTTCCAATCACTTCCAGAAAAGTTTCAATTCTTGATTTGAAGACATCAAGAGATAGAGAATATCTCACTCACATCCAGCTGTTACTGAAGTTCTTCTGGTTCATATTCACAGTCTTTATCCCTTCTGTACAGTATTATAGAGCTACTTAGTAGCTGGTATTTTATACCAGGAAACTTCAACAGGAAATATTTTGTGCTACTTTAGGTAAGGTAAGGCTACCAAACCTTTAACTAAAAAACCTCTTCCTCCATCCCATGGATGATTTTTTAGTCTTTTCTGCACATTCCTCAGGGCTTTCTTCAAGATCCTTTCCAAATACAGACAACAGAACTATATACACTAGTACTACATACATTAACTTCTCTTTTCCAATAGCACTTTATCTTCCAATCTTTAATACCACAAAAGACTGAATTGTCTTTGTTTTTGCCACTGCAGCAGAAGACCACATTGAAGTGTTTGTCCAGTATGACCTAATTTATTTATTTTTTTTTCCAAATTTAACCCTTTCCAAGATACAGTTCCACAGAATGGGGCTATAGCTTTACATCACAACATCGTATTAGATGTGTAACTGCACGTGGTTATGCCACAGGGTATTTCTTTCAAATGCTTCCACTTTACCAAGTCATGTCCTCAGCACTATGTACTGTTCCACAAGCTTAGTTTCCCCTGCAGCAATTTTTTTAATGAGTTTTGGGTCTATCTGTGGTTTTTTTATGGGTCATTCATTAACATATTTAAATTCATATGAGTTTGCACAGATCCCTACAAAATCTCTCACTGCACTCCAATTCAGTTATGGTAGCAATCACTATTACTCTTTAAAAAATTATAATTTAGGTGTTTTCTCATTAACTTAATCCTGGATTAATCCCACATAACATCAAGCACTCAACAGCAGGAACATACTTGCTCTAGGCATCCCTGAAGATGGAGACACAGAGACATATTCAGAGAAGAACGGCCTCCAGAGATGGCAAGGAAAAGGTGTATATTTCTGTAGTTTTCAAAATCAAAAGGGCATTTTTTTGTTCCTTCTTACCTTCCTCCTGCATACTTGTTGATGTTATATTGTAGCAATTTCCATTTTTTTAACTTGCATTTCTGATAGAAGACATCTGTTCCTCTGTTCTTATTGTTTAATTTTTTCCACTCATACAGTATATTTTAAATTAGTGACACAGTGTGAAAATGGGCCAATGCTCAGTGAAATTGCTTCCTTCCTCCTGTCACTAGTTAGCATTATTCAAATCATAATATTATGTCAGGCACTAATTTCACCTATTGTGAATATTGCAAATTGTCTCCCTTCTATATCATTGCCCAGCAGAAATTTTTTTAACTTGGAAATTTAGAGCTTATCTCATTTGAAATGTCACTTGCACAACGGAATCAAACCACACTACATTAGAAACTGAGGTAATTTCAAGTCTGAAAATCTGCTGTAAGATTATTGTAGCAAGACTAGCAAAGTCAGGCTTGTGCAGTGAAGAATTAAACATTAAACCATTGAACGTTCTTGCTTCAGAAAGTGTTTTGATGTAGCCACAAATATTCATTTTAAGAGGAAACAGACCATAGAAATGCACTGACTTATTTTCTGTAGCCATGCAATTGCATCATGGAAAAATCATGTACTGTAATACAAATGTATGTTCACAAACTAATCCAGGACGTTTTATAAAAGATTCAACTTCATAAAGACACACTTTGATCAGGTTACCACATGATTTCAGCTGCAGCAAGCAGTGATATCAGGAAAAAGGGCATTCGTCAACAGCAAGCATATAATTATGTCATAAAATATGTTCTCTGTCTATGTTGATTTGTCTTTCTTTCTCAGACTACCACTCAAAGATTACAGGAAGACAACAAAGTGAGAGCTAACCTTGGAGATAATCACTTCCATTGACAGCCTCTCCGAATGACCTGCTACATAACCAAGCATCATGATGCCAGGCAGCCTGACAGTCCCTCTGCAGCTGCCAATACAATCAAGCACAGCAGCAACTCCACCTACATTTACTATAAACTGTGAAAGCTGAAAAGAGAAACGGAAGAGATTACATACTGTGAAGTATCAACAGGCATAAACCACTACATCAGAAAAGTCTTTAAAGATCTTGCTCCTGATTTAAAAAATAATGCTGGAATAAGAGTGATGTTTCATACAGGCCGTGGGGCACTAAGTGCAGCATGAAGTTTTCAGGAACTAAACTGTTTTGCTACTCCATTTTTTTATTGACTTCACTGCATCAGGACTCTGGATTCTTGATGCTGTATAGCATGGAATGACATGTTCTCAACTCCATTAGTATATACCAAAGAATCATGCAAATGACAGCCTAATACATGGACACCCTTGAAGATGCACCTACAGCCAGATATTCTTTCATACTAGTGCCCACTCACTCCCAAACCAACATTGTATGTTCTGTGAAGGGACAAAAGGAAAGGCCTGCTCCTTCTCTCACCTATTCTAGATAACCTCTGCAGCATAAAAGCCTTTGTGGATTCCCCTCCTGAGGCATGAAGCCAAAGATGACTGACACAGACACACAAAACAGACTTAGGACTACTCTATTCTGACATGTCAGGGTATTCTGAGGTCTGTGCCAGGGAACACACTGGATGGGCAATGGAGTTTGCCCCAGGATGCCAAACTATATAGCCTTGCTTACAAATTATAATTGTGTCCACAGTTTATGATGTTTCCTGTGTTTATCAAACTATGTAATAGATTTCTTTCCAAAAGGTATCATTTCTCACTTCACTTGAGGAACAGCAGTAATATATTATATCAACAACACACAGAAATTAAAATAATTTAATATTATTATTATTTTCTCCTATCTGGTTGGGTATATCACATTTTTCCCAAAGATTCCTGTCCTGGTTTGAGCCAGGATGAAGCACTGATGAGCAAAAGAAAAATTGGCTTCATCCTGGCTCAAAACAGGACAATTCCAAAGCAATAGAAACACATTCTTAAAAGTCATCACCAGATTAACAAAAATTAGGCATGTGGATTTCCAATTCAGTTATATAAACATAAAACACACTGTTGCATTAAAGCCTTTAAAAGGGAATTATTTTTTCATGAAAGAGCTAGATGAAATTTAAAGTTATTACTTAGAAAAAACTGATCACAGGACTGTGGATGCAGCTATTATGACTGAGTCCTACATCTGGGCACAGACATGAACACAGAGCTCCTGCACAAGACATGCCCCCTGGTGCTGTGACCCTCGGGCACTGCTGCAAGTCCCCCAGATCCTGACCTTCACATGAATTTTACTGCATATGCGGACAGAGAGGTGAGACCCAAAGGCCACAATGCTCACATTACTGACACAGCCTACTCCTCTAGAAGTATCACTTGCCAATCTGTCTCTGTTGCAGTATGTGTTGCTTAAAGATGGACAGAGATTACTGTCACTCTAAAGACAAATGTGGAATGTTACTTCCCACAGGGAGTCACCAAGATACTTCCTACAGCTCCTCTGGAGAGCTGCTGGAATGGCCCATTTCCCTTGCATGGAGGATCCTGTCCTAGCAGCTCTTCTGGCTCTACCTTCAGTCTTGTAAGGTTGGTTTCTGGCTTCTGACTCTAGTGCCCCCCTTTGATAATGCTAATTTCTTTACTTTTTTGAGAAAGTGAAGTTGCACTGCTCATGAGGTGCAGAGAGAAAGCAGTAAATGTAACACAACTGCAACCATTAATCACCAGCAGCTTAGAGACCAACAAGCACAAGAAACAGCATAATATTCGTGTTTAAACACTTCTGAATTGTTAAGCTAGTAGCATGGTTTTGAAATGGCTGCACCCAACATGAGTGTGTTCCACAAATACTTTGTTTGTATTTCATTTCAGAGTCATATTTAGAGCCTTTTAATTATCTCTGTGGTTGGACAGATTACCACAGCTATAATTATTTCTTTTTCCTATTTATTTTGTATTGACATTCCCACCTTTCTGCATCAATTATTGGCAAAAACACTGCAAATGCTGAGACTCAAAAACTCAAGCTAATAAAACAAACTACCATCAGTTTAATAATAACTAAGAGAACTTCTGACCTTCACTGTCATTGAAAAAATAATTAAAATGTGATCCCAGTACGCCAGAAGATTTTTTAAAAAGTCACAAACCATCTAATATTGTTTTAGGATGATCTTGTCATTTATTACCTTGTATCATTACTTCTGTGAAGCTTTTCTCATTATATTTTTAATATCTAGGACTGACAATACTGCCAGCCTAAAACTCTCTCTCCATGCAGATATCTTATGGAATGAAATAGCTATGTATACATTATACGATTCCCAGTTTCCTAACCCAATTCATATTCAATACACATCTCATAATATCAGCAAGCATTTCCATATTTTTCCAATGAACATGCCAAACAGCTATTTGCCCTCCCTTTCAAAAAGCAAATGACAGAATAATCCAGTATTTTATTTAAAGTGTAAAATCTAATGAGATGACCTTGTATTTGCATTTTCAAGGTTTTACCTCAGGCGTGTGTTTCGCTATCTCTCTAATTAAAGTTGCACCATTTTTCTTGACGTATTCATCTGAGTCCTTCAGGCATGTGAGCACAACTGGGAAAATTTCTGCTTCAACCACCAACTCTGCAAGATGCACTGAATGCTTTGCTATTTGGCTTAGAGCTGACAGCACCTGACGCTAGTAAATAAAAATTGTTATAAAATCAATAGTATACAAACATCCCACAACACACACTCCTCCTGCAAACAAAAATCTATTGCATCAAGGAAAACAAAGCAGGATAGGGAAAACAATTACAGCTATTTTACAATTCACTGAGTCAATTCATGCACGAATATAATGGCACAGAACATTCGCTGGTTCCTGAATAAAAGTTTCTCCTTTGTTTTACCCCTTTCAAGTTTGCTATATATTAAAAAAGAAAATATATATACATACACCATTTAAAATTTAGTGAAAACTACAGAAAGTATCTTTATTTGCATAAGGTTGGTTTGCCAGACCTTATATTAGAGAGTTTTTTCATCTATTTGTTGGAAGTGGCATTTTTATGTTGTCTTCTGTTTCTGTTAGATGGAAAAAACATATTAAGAAAAATTTTTTTGTCAGTTAAAATGTAGTGATTAAACCTTCAACAACAGCTATTCCCATCACATAGTACATTCTAAAATACAAGAATATATTTAATATTAACTTGTTTGTAAGCATATTCTTAAGTCCACAAAACATTTTTGGTAACTGAATTGTGCAAATTTTATCTATTAAAATTATGTTGCCTTCTTCATACACTAAATAATTCTTTTTAAAAGCCATACTATTAATTTTAAATATTAGCTCTTCACAGAGCAGTAGTTTTTATGCAGTAGCTAAGTCTGTGAATATGTTCAGAACTCTTTGTCACTAACTATGTAGATCCATTTAGTTAATACCTAGAACAAGAGCTTCCTAAAGAAATACACACATCAGTGTCTTTGATTCAGTATCAAATAACGACTGGTATAATGGAGATGTTAAAAAAATAATTGTTAAATGTACCTTCAGTTTAGCATCAGGGTTCAGGATCATCTGAGCTAAGGGAGCGATAGCTCCTGCATCCACTACTGTCTGTGCTAACTCTGGAGAATGCTTTGAAATATCACTGAGAGTTGAGGCAGCAATCCTTTTCAAAGCAATTTCTGGCTCCTGGATACAGAGCACTAAAAGAGGAACAGCTCCTGAATCCACCACAGCTTGTGACAGTTCTGTAGGTCCAAGGAAAGTAATTAAGTGAGTATGGGTGACTGACCCTTGTGCAAGCCATTTTTCACCCTGACAGATACAGCAAAGGAAAAAGGGGAGGGTGTAGTTCACTGTCTCGACATCTGCATTTCAAATCAGCCCTCCTGGTTTCATAAACCGTGTGGACCAATCCACAGCTGAAAAGAATGCAGGTCAATAGATGGACCCCCATTTACATGCACACATTTGAGGTAGATTAGGCTGAAATGGTTTGTTATTCTGTTTTCTTTTTCTTTTTTTTAAAGTAAGCAGATGTCAGCTGTTTAAACCCTGGCTATTCTACACTGATCAATAGGAAAGCATTTTATGCATGGCTAACAACAACACAGAAAGCCAAAGTACCAAAATTTTACCAACCACCTAATTAGAGAGCATTTTACCCTCTTTAAATGATAAGCAGATATTAGCATAGATCAAATGCCAGAAACAGAAATACAAAAAACATACATGAAAGACTTATCTTATATAAAAGATTGGAAAAATGGAACTTGCTGATCAAAACTAGGCTTTGCTACAAGACACAACTTATATTTTAATGACATGAAAATATTATCATACACAATTAGGTAAACAAGAAATATCATCAGTGGGATATTGTGTGTCTGAGACTAGTACAATATCCTTAACTAACTGCACCTTAAATAAAAAGACAAAAAGTAAAAATAAAAAAAAGCTGAGCATATGATTAGCTGAAATGGACAAAAATTACACTACTAGAAATTCATTAGCTCTCTCCATGTATGCAGCATTAATCACAGTCCTAAAATAAGAACTACCAGATATCAGAAGGAAAATTTATACTATAACCAAGCTGTGCTATTTTAAAATAGTGTTGAAAAAGTGGTAAAAATCATGGGGGTTTCAATAATCTATTAGGTTCTTCGTTCAGTTTTGCTACACTTTATTATGCATATCCATTATTATCTTCAACATTTATCTTGACTTATAGTACCATGGCAACATATGGCTGTTGTATTTCAAGAGTCTAACTTAGCTTCTGATTTATAGTCAATCCATAAAGAGATTTTCAAGCTAAGAAAATATAAGATACGTCATTAAATATACATAGACTAATATAGTTTTTCATGAAATCTGTAAGTCATGTCATCATTACATTGTTAATATCCAAATAACGTTCCTGACCAGATTTATCTTCAATTAGTTAGTTACAGCCACACACTCCAATGCATGTGATAAGCCAAATAGTTACACTGTATGTTATTTTATGATATAATATTTTAAATAAAGTCTAAATATTACCTCACAAAATTAACAAATAAAAATAAATAATGCAGTAATTTGCAAACAAATACAAAACTAACCCTTCCAAGTTTCACTCTTCAAATAAGTGCTTGACTGAAAATGTGGAGTGTGCATCCTCCAAACACACACAAATTGCGAGTTTTCAACAAAAAACAAGTGCTGTATTTTCAGCTTTACAAATTTGAAATATGAAATGTATCTGAAAACATATATTGATTAGTTAGTTTTCAGGCAAGTGGTATAAGTTGCATTCAGCTTTTCATGAAAAAAGCCATACCCAATTTCTTCAAATTGTATTTCAATGCTGTACACTGACTAAGCAGAAAACATAATGAACTACTAACCAACAGTTCAGATTAATCCATCCAACTTCAGAACAACCAATTCAGTTGCTTACAGTCTGCTAGGAGTTGCTAATATCTGGAAAATAATGTTGAGAGGGATAGGATACTACTAGAAGAATGGGCTTCTCTACTGCCTTACGAGCTAAAATAATGAAGTTCAAGTAGGGAGAGAAAGAGCAGTACTTTAAGGTCACAGCTATGCCCAGACATGCAAAAGTGACCATACAAGTTATTTTAAAAGAGCAAACTAAACATGATTCAATTTAGATCAGCTCTTGCTGTTAGAAGTCTGATATCATTTAAATACCGATGGTTACTGCTGGTCATGGTTAATTAAATGGTTGGTTTTCCAGTGATGTTTATAAGGTTCATGGCTAATAACTTACCACATGGAGGGCTGGACTATGTGTCAAAAGACAGACAAGCAGTAAATGGACTGTCAGAAAAAACAGGAAAACTGAGGCAGGGAAAAAAGAAAATATAGATCTTCCCATCACATTCCCCTGCAAACTCAACCCAAATCTATGATTCTAAGTATTAATGATTCTATGATAATTGTAATTCTTTCTTCTCAAAGGGAGACTCAATTAACCCTTGAATATGGCAGAACATCTTTTAATTCAGACTATACATCAAAGGATTCATGAAACTTTGCTACCCAATTACAAAACACAAAAGTGAAAAAAATGGAAGCTGAGAAAGAGTTAAAGGGGAAAATGCAATTGTCAGGAAGAATTTTTTTAAAACAAATATTCAGACCAAGAAACCAAAAGAGCTGGAAAAAATTACAAAAATACTTTTCTGAACACTGTGCCAAGACCACATTATGAGAGCAAAGACAAGACCAATAGCTGAAAAGGAGAAAGACTGCAGAGAAAAACTAATTTATGAACCTCATTTAATTCCACAGAAAGCTATTAAAATCTTGGGCTTGGATCTTCAGTTTTGGGTACAGCTTAAGGAACCTGTCCAACTGCAGAATGATAAAGTAGGACTTCTCCCTACATGAGTGAAAGTAGGAAATGTTATTCTACAGATGATCAGAGACAAGTGAATAAAGGCTCAAAATCCACCATAAATTAACTGCTTTTGTCCAGAACAATATGAGGAAGATATTAGCAAATGGAGATACTGCAGACATGAAGACAGACTGACATGGAGGTAGACAAAAGACTGATAAAGAAAGACTCTGGAGTTTAAGATGTCACCAGTTCGGCTATAAGTTGCACTGATTTGTCTCAATATAAAAATACTCATTAATTAATTCAAAGTAAGTTGAGGCCTAGTCATAAACTTATGTAATCAGGAAGAGAGGAAACTTAATGAAGAGGAGTCAATAAGATCCTGACTACATGCCCACTGAAACCAATGGGAAGTCTTACAGGATTAATCTAAACTGGTTTAAGTTGTTGCCAGAAAAATGTTAACGTATTTGTAATACTAGCAGGGATAAAAACAAGACTAGGGAGGAAAGATGAAGGTGAGAAAGTGAATGTGGAGGTAGTCTCCAGAAAAGGAAACTCAGCTCTGAACAAATACCAAATTCACATAGTGGAGCAGGAGCAAAACTTGGAATCAAATGCAAATTTCAGTACAGACCAGAGTTCTCAAACAGGCCCTGCTGCGGTGACAGGTGTAGCCACAGGAAATAACAGGGTTTGGCCAAAACAACCACCAATGCTGGTATTTTTCTAAGGACTGTGTGATCATGTAAAGGCCACATAAGGAGACTCTCATCCACAAAAGAGGTCCAACGAGCGTCACTGTATGACCAAAAATTAGATTAAATTTGCTTTCAGCAATATGCTTGAGTACAAATATTGTTTGGGGTTTTTCCTACAAATTGACATTATGCTGAAGCAGGTAAGAGATGTAGGCAAAGCAAATGGAAAGCTAGGTTATTTGCATATCTCAAACTTAAGAATTTTGCATTTTAGAAGTAACTGGATGTGGTATAAGTGAAAATTTACAAAATACTTTCATGGACCTGATGGTATTTTGGTAGTATTTGAAACACTTTACACTTCTTTTCAAGCAAAAATAGCAGAAAAAATGAATGGCAAAATTACAGAACACTGATCTGCATACTTGAGAGTAAGATCAGCGTCTGAAATTCAGCTCAAAGGGATCTTCAAGGAAGAGCAGAACTGCAAAAGCTGTTCCTAAATTTTGGAATCTAACCTGGCAAGATTTTTAATCTCTTGAAATCTCATGAGACATCTGTTTTGACCTAAAATCTCACAGGTTTTCTGGAGACATCTGTTCACAGATTAACTGCATTTTAAGAGACTGTCGTATGAAGACAGTAGCAAACTTGCCAGCCAGAGAATGTTTTCATCGGGGGGGGAAAAAAAGTCTTTGATTTCTCAAAATTTAAGTATTTTCATGGGAATATACACTGCAGTTCCTAGAGAGAAGCTTTACCAGGTCACAGATGGAATTTCTGATTAAAAGCAGAGAGACTCTCTCATTCCAGTTACCACTGAATGCTGGGAGCCTTTGCTTGCATTTAGGAACGTAAGTTCACATTCTGCCTAAGACACATCAGGACTTTAATCTGTCTCTCACATACATCCCAGACATACGTCCTCTTTATTGAACTTTTCCTGCTGGGGCAAATAAGCCTCCCTATCCCCCAGTCTTTTCAGAAGAGAAATGTCTTAATGTTGTCCTGTTTTGGAACTGAAACAGTTCTTGAAACTGAAAAAACTTACGTGGGTGGGGAAAACCATTTCACACCTAACTTTATTTTTAGAGTTTAAGCTGCAATATGTGTCTACAGTCAATGACAGAAAATCATAACTGCCAAATTTTATCAACACAAGCATGTGAATCTACTCCAGAGTTTGATTAACAGTAAACATCAGATGTTGATAAAAACAAGTCCATCTATCTTTGTGTCCCATCTCCAACAATATCCTGTCACAAAGGCATGCTTGTAGGAGTGTTGGAAACACACCAAGCACAGAGTGATCTTTCTTCAGTATAACTCCTTTACTTTCAGTAATCATTTTAGAGACTTCCTGTGACTGTGTTACAGAGGAAGGTAAATCCCCCAAACTGGCTGTAGCTGGGCAGGGGAAGCACAATTTTTTCAGTGGTTTTTTTTTTTTGGTTGGTTGGTTGGTTTGTTGCTTGTTTTTTTTAAACTAATTACATCTAGTGATCTGTCTATGTCATGATGATTGCAGCTCGGTAGCACTTGCAGTTTCAACAGAATTTCTGAAAATGCTGTTCTGTTGCTGGTGTAAATTGACATGAGACAAGCACCCATTCACTGTCAGTAAATAAATAACTCATAACCACGAAATAAAAATGTGTACAAAGAGTTTGTTGTCTTCAATACCTCCACATCACCTCCATCTTTGCAGACAATGCCATCAGAGTGAACTGGATCACCCCAAACATGCATGAGCATTCATGCAGTGAATAGCATTAGGGGCAATGGAGGTGAGTCAATATTGATCTACTGACATAACAAAACTACAGAAATGTTTATGTTAAGAGTAACACACACTCACTCTTACACTACTCACATTTACACAAAAGAACACTTTCAAATGACACTTAAACAAATATCTTTCAGATGGAAGCAACAACTATTTTTCACCAAGGGTGGGATTCAGACCTGGTGACCAAAAGATGAAAGATCTGCAACACACAGAGGTGCCCCAAGAATGAATTTGTTCCTTGGAAAAAGAAGTCTGTTAGGAACGTGGACGACTTTGGAGTCTGTCCCAGTAAGATAACTCTCTCTCTTAGTGGGAATAGAAGAGCCCCCATAAGCTTCCACAGTTAAACACTCCATATTGATTACAAATTAAAGAAGAAAATCACTTCCAAATTCAGTCAGTGTATATTATAGAGCCAAAACCAAAACAAATACATGAGTTAATGTTATAATCCTAGAATAAGTTTAACTTTCAACAATATGAACACAAGCCATTTCTCCCACCCTTTCCAGCCAGCAGCTTCTTCCCTCAGTTCTTTGATACACAGCTCTAAACTTTTACTTGAACTATATAAATAGCTGGTAAAAGAATTATCAACCACGTGGATCAGCTTTTAAATAGGAACATGACACGGCCTGTGAGTTATACAACTACTTGTGAGACAGGAGTGAACTGCTCGATATCAGATTCCTAGGATCTATTCCTGACTCTCTGAGAAGAGTGTGGTCTACTGGCTAATGATAATACAGTCAGTGCAATGAATCTGGCACATTTACCCTGCAGGCACTGCTGGAAGCTGAATGAAACTTGGTTCTGTCAAGGCTTCTCCATTTTACTTTGTATATAAAATATGAAACTAAGGTTGAGCAAAAGAAACTTTGTTCCACAGGAACAGTTACACCATACATAAAAATTCTGAAATTTCATCATGCAGCAGAACAAAGCACACTGTCCTTCCCTGGCCACAGGCCAATGCATCCTACAGCACCTCTCATAATAAGGCAATCTGGTGTAATTTTCCCACAGAAGGTACAGCATTGTCAGATTGGTACAGCTAGAGCAGGTTTTTATTCCAAATTTAAAATTATATAACAGTAGAGAAGAAAAAGTATCTTATTCTATTTACAGACATTACAGTAATACAATTTGTTGTAACTCCTACATAGCAATAAGCTGAAAGATAATGCATGTGAAACCTGTTACCTGAATTGTGTCGGGCAATATACCCAAGTGCCCAAGATGCAGCTTCTTTGACTCCAGGGTCAAAATCTTCCAAGCAAATCACCAGCATTTCCAGTGCTCCACACTGAACTATTGCCTGAGCTAGCTGTGGAGAATGTTTACCAACTGCTCTTAGCACAAATGCAGCTGCTTTCTTGTAGAAACGCTACACAAGGCAGGAAGAAAAAAAGAAAAAAAAAAGCTTTTAGTAACATTATGGAGTTCAAAGCATAGCACAGTTTAGACATACATAAATTAGACTTTTTTAGTAGTAGCAATATCTCATTCAGACACCAATCAGGACCACCAGATAGCACACAATGAACCTCACAGTCCTTCTTTGAGACAGCTATGATCTAAAATTTGCAGTAAGTGCATAAACGAACAGAAAAAATGAGAGGGCTAAGAGGATATGGGGAACAGATAATAGTCTAGATAAGTCTGTTTATTTAAGTGAGTAGCAAATGATAAGGGCTGCAAAAACAATAGTTCTTAACATATTTAACCAGATTACATGGGTTATGCAGGGCAAGCTCCTAAAATAATTCTACCCATCTGTGACACTTGATGGTTTCACAATTTCTAATGTATATACCTACACAACATCTCTATGAGAAAACATTATTTACATTTACAGTGACACAGAGAATTAGATCCAACAAAGGGGCTCAAGATCTGCATCCTGAAATGCCTAACCACTGTCTAAGCCCACAGCTAAGATCCTGAAAATCCATCCCACCAACACCCAACACTGGATGACCCTCGTTTTTTTTACCAGGCATCCTACAGTCTCCAAGCACTTGTCTCAGTTCTACCCATCTCCCTCAGTGCTGCACCAAATGCATGTTTTAAGCATATTTGTAACACATGGTGCTACAGACATCATGGGGTTCCATGTAAACTGCAGAGATGGTTGTGGTTTCTTCTAAAAGCACAGTTAAAGTCTTCCCCCAAAAGTTGCTTTTCAGTCTTTTCCTCCAGTTCTGTCATGATCACTGGGGTATGGAAGCTGAAGATTAAATGTCTACCCCTGCCTTACAGTTTCAAAATCCAGAGCCCAGTTGAAGTACTCTGATCAGAGACAACCGTGTTATGAGAAAGACAGTTCCCCTCCCTTGTGAAACCATTGTGCATCAAGGACTGAGAGATTCCTTGGGACACAAGTAATCTACTGCCATGTCCATGAGCCCAGAGTATGCCCTCCAGACCAGCAGTTGACAGATCATCCTTATAGACAAGCTCTAGAGTGATCTGTCCCTGTGTACCAGATGAATTAAATCTCATTCCAAGATGCTTGATTCTCCCCTGCTCTGTACAGGAAGCCTGGGCACTTTACAGTGCTAGATTCCTACTGACAAGGTACCCAAAACTTACACAATATAAAGCCCACATCCCTTTTGGATCAAATCCAGAGAAACAACGAACCACGTGAGTGTTTTTGTACATCCTGTAAGGTGCCCACACACCTTCAGAAGAAGTCTGATCTAAAGCACTAAGGTATGGCAACAGAGGATTATCTGGAGTGGCTCCACAGGAAGTAAAATAAACCCAGGTCCATTCCTTGACCCCGAAGGAATGTGACATACCATACCATATCCTTCTACTTAAACTCCTCTTTCCTCAAGGTACAACGGCCTCACCTACACTACTGGAAACTGTCCCTGCCTTGTGCTATCCTCCCTAAGCCATGTCCAGGCATTGCCAAGTAGTTTGATAGCTGGCATTGGCTAAAAGCACATCAGAGATCATGTTAATGATTAAAGAGCACAGTCACCTTCCAGTGCTCAAATGCATGCCTGACCCTCCTTAGTTTACCATTACTGCTATCATTCCTTAATGTCAAAAATCCAGTCTTCTTAGTTAAGGCCTACAAGCAGGTACAATAAACATAATATACAAGCAAAGCATTAAATATCTTTTTGGGGTAACAGAAGTTAAGGGAAACAGTATAGACAAATGGTCAAATCCCTAACTCATGTAAATTACTGTAGGTTTTGCTGAACTTAATGGAGCTACAGTTGTTTACACCAGTCTGTCTGTGCAAAAACGGGTATGTTATTTCTGTTAAGTAATTATGCTCCTGGCAAAGAAAAACACTTCTTTGTTTTTATTATTCAAAACACATTTCTTTACCAAAAAAGCATACTCATAGGCACACTCAGAACACACTGTAAAACTGTATTTTGTTCAGTATAATTGACAAAACATTGATCTGAGACATGACCCTGTAACTGTTCTCTAAATCAGTAGAATCAGTATTTATTGTGTGCTCAAAGAATCTGTTTCTTAAATACAGATGTTGATACAACAAAAGTGAGTGGAATGGAAACATATCTGGGTTGGGGTTTTTTTGCCTATGGGAAGTAAGAAACTGCATGCATTGCTAAACTCTGCATGAACTGGATAATGAGTTTCCTTCGCTTGCCCTCAGTCACCAAGGCATAGCAGGCTTTCCATGACCTCACACTAATCTTGCTGCTGCCCCAAGTGATTCTGAATTACAGCCATCTCAATGTAATGACAGCACAGGCAGTAACATGGAAGAGATAAATCAGGGTACTCAAGCTAATTTAGTGAGGGCTTTGAGTTTTAGCAGAGGGCTGATTTCCAAACCAAAACAGAGGATAAAGAGCTTTGTTCCCCCTCTTCCCTTAAAAATAACAAAAATTATTATAAAAACCTTTCTAACTAAAACCTTAACTTTCTTTCCATACTACACCAGTATCTTGATATCAAGGCTTTTCTATATGGGTTGGGTTTTTTCAATATTAATTGCATAAGCAAGGTTCTATATGCACAAAAAAATATGCAATGAGTACTTATATCTATGATTTCCTCAAAAGACAGAAAATTAAAATAGAGTTTACCAAATTATACTTCAATTGAAATCCTACTTCTCCTAAATCTAATAAATAAAAATTGCAACCTAAGTATAGATGTGATATGAATGTGCTTAACCCTCAGCTGTGTTTTTTTCCAGTTATTAGAAAACTTAATTAAAAGTATTTTTGTTATTCTAGATTAGGTTCATTGGGAAAAACAGAGCTGGAATACAAGAAAAATCTGAAGAAAAATGGCAAGAAGGGGAAAAAGAGACTACCAGATTTATTTGAATTGCAATTGTGACTATACTTGTTTGTTTGTTTTTGACATACATGAAGATTAAAACCTTTAACATATTTTCCTGTATCACTGGTTTGATATTTCTCATGCTATGGATTTCCAAAAGGCTATGTTTAGAGATATTAAATATTTCATTAGAGAAGTTAGGTTTCTTGTAAGTGTTAGGCATTATTGACAAATCCTTGTCAATTATCACTACAACTTTCAAATTGCCTCATTTTAAAGAGGGACCTTATATAAAGCATCATTCAATGTCTTAAAAATACAAGAATGCCATGAATATATTACTAAAAGGTAACGTATTTTAAAGTCAAGCTTATTTGAAGTCAAACTTAGGCACATTGATCTCTCAGAGGTTCAAACATACATGCTGTCTCTTCAGTACATTTATTGCTAAACAAGAATAACAGCAGGTAGCTGACAAAGAAAGATTTCCCTTTCCCTGTGGAATAGTTGGGGGAAAAAAAAAAAAAAAGAAAAAAAAAAAAAGATTTCTTAAGAAAACAATGATGCCTTACATTCTGCTCAGACAATGAATACACGAGCTGTGGAAGAATCTCTCCCTTCACAACTGCCTCTGCCAGGTCATCGTTATAACTGGCAAGTCTCCCAAGAGCCAAAGCCGCGGTATGTTGCACGGTTGGGACGCTATCCAGCAAAAGAGGTCTCAGCAAAGATATTACACCTAGTTACATCAGGAAGAGAAAAGCCCATTTGGTAAGCAGAAAAATTTCTAAACTTTTGCCTTTATGCATAGAAACCTATTAAATTACTCTTCTGGGTTATAAGAACATGTGGGAAATCCAGGTGTTCCACTGAAATGAAGTCAGCGCTTGGATAGTACTGCTGATGCACAGCAGTGTTTCTCCACACTTCCATGGGTACAAAATGTTTCTGAAATATAAAAAAAAGTCACATGTAGAAATAAACTCTATTGAAACATCTATAAAATTCATGTCTTAAAGTATACACAAGAAAATAAGGTATATTCAAACAGGTATAAAATGCATGTGTTAAAGTATGCACAGGAAACTCCATGTGGAAGTCCTGCTGAGCTGACATTGGCATGTCACTCACTCAGCATGCCAGCAAAACTTCTACATTGAATTACACCAAATTACATTTCAACTCTTATAAGCAATAATTGATTTGGGGACCATTATCTGTAGTACATTACATTCCAGACAGAAGAGCTGAAGATTTTTTAATTCATTATTTATTATGTGTTTTCACTGATGAGTCCACCGTGTATCAGTTAAACACGTAACAATATGAAAGTCCATCCTCAAAGGTGGTCTTACAATACATACGTGAAATTATAGGCAAGGTAAACAGCTGTGACATGAACCATTAGCAGTTACAGCCTAAGAGAGTCCTTACATCCATAAACATCTGGATAAAAACAGGAAGCGGGAAAATTAAACTTTCCATTCTTGCAATAGGAGGGAGGAGGTCACAGAGCAGTTCTGCAGGCCTCCATGCTGGGACATGCCATTTGGTATTCCTCTATGATCTGGAACAGCATGAACAGTGAGGTGAGACTTTGCTGGTGACTCAAAGTTATTCAAGGTAGTACTGGGGAGAGAAACTGTAAGAAATTAGAGACTGAATGACTGGATAACAAAATGGCAAGTGAAATGGAATACATATGGGGAAGCCAATCCCAACCTCACGTATACAGTGATGGACCCCAAAGAAGTCACTACTACCCAGGAGAAAGACCTCAATGTTAGAACAGACAGTTACATGGAGATCCCAGCTCATTGCTCAGGAGCTGAGAAGAACTTTACCCACAGAATTATACAGAGCTCTCAGGATTATTTAGAAAGGAATAAAGACCAAACCAGAGACCATTACTAAGTCACTGTATAAATCTATCCTACATTCAAGATCATCTCCTAGAGTAGAATTGGAAAAAGTTCAGTGAAAGGCAACAAGTATGACCATTCTGTATGTGGAAGTGCTTCCTACAGTTAAACTAAGACTCTTCAGTAGGGATATAAATGAGATCCACAAGATTACATTAAAAATACAATCTGTAAGGTCTGAAAAGGAAAATTACTTGTACTGCAATTCTTCAAAAGCGCTGTCCCTGAACCAGACAGCTGCACAAATTAATACTTCTGAGCTCTGTACTTCAGCCAGAAAGCAATGCTCTCTGAAGATGCAGAAGTGCTACCACAGAACACCAAACACTCAGAGCTACAGTCAGAAGTCTCCCCATCAGCTGTCTCCATTCTTTCCACTACATTTTTTTGCTAACAAAGATTTAGCTGGCAGGCTGTGGATGAAAGCAAGACTTTCCTTCTCAACGGCTCCTGTGGTTTTAAGTTCTGAACAAAATGTCTTTTGGTGCAACAGTCCCACAACAGTAGGATCACTGCTTAATCGCAGAGGACATCCAGGTGTAGCATAGGCATAACATGACAAGGAAAAGGAGGCCCTTAGAGAAAGAAACAGTTCAAAGGGATGGAGGCTTTAAGAAGTTACACCTATAGCTTACTTCTGTATAGAAGGGCACTCTAAAAACAAAACAAAGTTGAGCAGCAGTGTAATTCTTAGAGATATTTATTTTAAATTAAACTCAAATTGCTCCCAGCAAGGAGAAAATAGCCTAATGATCCATACATGGCTCTGAAAGAGTGTGGGAGGTAGGGAAAAAATAACCATGCTGGCCATTAATGAATTTGTTCTGAATTTGGTCAATACTCCAGAAAGAAGCTGCACTGCCATGAGAGGTACAGCCTGCCAGGATGTTCACAAGTCAAAAGGCCACAGGTCTCAGGGGAAGCATGCAGTAAAAGGAGAAAAGTGAAATTAATTTGTCATGCCTCATAGCACTTCAGAAGCACCAAAGATAGCTCTATAACATGCATTACCTGAACACGTACAGGTAGAACCTATGGAAATTGTAGTATGGCTGTGGCCGTATCACTACTTCTGTCAAATCTACTAGGAGCTGAAAGAGGCCTCCTGTGTGCCAACAGACAACAGCTAGATCCTCCAGTATGGTAAGATCAATGTGAATTCATTTAGCAGTTTGCAGAAATCACTACTTCAGAATGTGGTCATCATACTGACATCTTCTTACAAATTCTCCCAATTAGCAAGGATGGTCTCATTAGCAAGTTATGCTTCATATCAAAATGCACCAAGTATACGACAAATTTAGGGTGAGACACTGGAACAGGTTGCCCAGGGAAGTTGTGGAAGCCCCATCCCTGGAAGTGTTGAAAGCCAGGCTGGATGGGACACTGAGCAACCTGGTCAAGTGGGAGGTGTCCCTGCCCATGCAGGGTGGTTGGAACTAGATGATCTTTAACGCCTCTTCCAACCCAAACATTCTATGAGTCTATGAAATTTAAAGTATAAACAAATAAGCATGCGAGCTGGGGCCAAATTTGTATATCATCTATAGTGAGCTATCCTCTAGCAAGTCACCTGCTTCTCTCTATTTGGTCCAAGCAAGGATACCTACCAGCATTTTTAATTAAATTCAAATTTATTTAACATATCTTAGAGCAGGAAAATAGGTAAGAAGTTTCCTTTGACCTCTACCATTCACTCAAGTGAACAGGACCATACAGAGCAGGGAGTAGCAGTGCCTTGCTGCCGAAAACTTCAGCAGAATTCTTTGGTGGATTTCTAAATAAGTCTCTTGTGACAGGAGTAGGAAATTCATTAACTCTAATTCAAAGGCAGCAACACTGCTGTAAACTACAAAATAAGGCATTTAGACCATTGGACTAGATTTGTTTTGGAAGAGTTCCCACTAGCAACTCAGAGTAACAAGGAATTACTGCCAAATATTCTCCCTTGCATCACGGAACCTTGACTGACCTTGGGCAAGGAATGATTCCCCTTTCTATCCTCAGTTTCACACTCAGATTTGATTCAAAGAATGACACACTTTAGAAGCTGAATCACCCTTAACATAAACTTCTCCAGGAGAGGGTTGTGCACCAGGCCTGATGCACTTTTTTTTAGCAAGCAAGTGCTGGCTGCTGTCTATCTGGAAAAAAAAACCCACTCAGGGCAGCAGTAGGTTCCAAGTTTTTTTCACTCCAAGTTTCTGTAGCCAAACAAGCAGTTACTATTCTGGAAACAGCAAACTTCATTTGATCATTTTGAATTTCTCAAGGAAAACTACCTGGAAGTCATGCAGAATCCCTCTACCTTCCTCCTGCCACCGCAAACCCTTGTAAAATGTGAATAGTCAGAAAAACAAGTCAGAGAAACATCAGTCTACTTTTCAAATTCTCTCAATTCTGCACCTGAAGATAACCACTCCTACCCTACTCTCCTTCCTTAAAAACAAAATTTATTTCTGCTTTAAAATGTAAACGAAAAAGTTGATCTATGCTAGTGCTGTCGCTGGACACACTTTTTACCTTGACAATCATAGAATCATAGAATCCTAGGGGTTGGAAAGGACCTCGAAAGATCATCTAGTCCAACCCCCAATTAGGACAATGCTGTCCTAATTTAAGTTTTGGATCAAGTATAACATTGTCTTCTTGTTTTTGTGTGCTACCTGTTACATCAAGAACATTCACTAAGCTAGCATTAATTAGCACTCAAACATTTATCATACCAGGGCTCCTGATGTCAATTTCAGCTATTTACCTCAGAAACAAAATGGAAATTTATTTCTGCTTCACCTCAACTCTTTATCTTCAATTACCCTTTCCTAGAAGCAGCATAGAGGCAAGTTTGAAGCAGGAGACTCAAAACAAATTTCCCAGAAGAACACTGGGAGAGACCCTTCACACTCATTTCTCTTGACATGGCCTCTTCCAGAGATGGTGCAGTACACACATCCCAAGCATACTCCTCAAGTGTGGCTCACCCCGAGAAAGGGCTCCTCACTGCAACAATTCCACACACAACACAACTACAATCTTTCAAATATCAAAGAGAACATAGATACAGTTTGGTAATAGAGACTCTGGGTAATCAAGTAATCTGTACGGCAATTGCCAGATGGTGTGGGACATAACACAGATTCAGTTTGACAGCAGGCCTGGAGATTTCTAAAGGATCAAGGAGCAGTAAGTTTCTCCTCCTTAAAAGCTGATCTGGCTGATCATTTTCCAGACCCTGTTTCTGCATTAATGGAGCAGAACTAATCCTGTTCCAAGAAGACCGAGTTTCTGAAAATTACCCTCGCAGGGCTAGTTAGTGGCCAGCACTCTATCCTTCACAGACATACAAAAACCAATGTGGTTACAAGGAGCTGCTTCTTCTTAATGACCACTCGCTAAGATGTGACAGAAGTTCTCAACAAATTCTGCCTTTGGAATTTCTACTTGCAAATCTCCTCCAAAGAGGCCAGGAGGCTGAGAAGAGGTGGAATCCTGGAGCAGTTGAGCTTTCAATTGATTAAGTTACAGAAAAAGCCAGTCCTACATTCCACCTACATTTACTTTCTCCTCTCTCTAGTACTTCCCTGAATACAGAGACTTCTTCCCTTCATCAGGCACCACTACACTGTCAAGCCTCAGGGAAATCCACTCTCCTCACTTGATCTACTACAACTCCTAAGATAACCTTTTGCCTTTCACGACACATTACATACTTCTCTCCCACTTCTCCTCCCACTGAAGCTCAGCAAAGCTTTTAACTCAAATATTTTTTTTTAATTAATTATTTATTTATTTAAAAGCACAAGAGAGGGTGCATAAAACCAAATGTTGAAACTGGATATATGTGGGCATTGGAGTCTGTCCATGCATATCCATCCACTTGCAAGGTCCAGATAGGGCAGTAACACAGATGCTTTAAGTGGCCAGTTCTTTTTCTGCCCAGCTGACTCAACAGCCATCCTCCCTACACACCCTCTGCTCCCAGCAGACTTTCTACAAAGGACAGTGCTATCAAAGCACATTCTTTAATATTATTTAAAGTGTGGAAATACATCCTGAAATCCCTTTCCAGAGTCTGATCCTCCATACACGGGGCCAAGTCTGCAACTCACACATTCAAAATAGGTACATTTCAAATGCCCACACTACAAAGAGAAGTTGAGAAAAGCATAGGCAAAAAGACTCAATGTAATTGAGTAAGAGAAATTATTTGAACAGACTTTTCTCCTAAATAAACACTCCTAAAACCCCTCCACAGATCTGGACACTCAGCTTTTAAAACTGGTCACCAGTGGAATGGCTCTGGAGCTGGGAGAGAACCAATGCTCACAACATCATCCTTTACCTGCATAAAAACAGACTGTGAAGTAGGAGAAAATGTGTCATGCCACAAAGGTTTGTGATGGAGCCCTAATCTGACACAGACAAGCCCTGTCCCCAAGCTATAGCCTCTTGCCAACACATTGTGAGGAACAGATAGAGGAGAAATGCCAAGAGGGAAGGAGGGGACTTGGTCCTGGGGGTGAGTATAGTTGGTATGCTGGGTTGTAAGGAGGCAGAAACTCAGATGCAGCTCAATCTGGTGAAGCTCAATCTGGGCAGAACGGAAAGAAGACAAAAGGCAGGGAGCTGGGTTCAGGGTAAATGGTTGTGGGCGGGTAGAGTGGGACGATGGGAAAGGATCTTCTTTTACACTGGCATTTTGTAACTTGGGTCTTGAACCCTACAGACTGGCCAGCAAGTAGGTAAGGCAGGTAAGAGGAACAGGAGATGATGTTACCTGGCCAAGCAGCAATGAGAAGGGAACCCAGGTGTGCAAGGTCCCAGAACACAGACTCCCATGGCAACACATAGGCTGCTAGACCACAGAGGTTCAAATTTCTTTTTCCAGACTTAACTTCCCCGTAACTCCCGCAGCCATTATGCTTAAGAATGTGATCATCCCCAAGAAAGGGGTTAAGAGCTGATCTTGTAATACCTTTAAAGTCAAAGGCTAAGTTGCAAGACTAAACTGTTTCTTAATCCAAATTATATCTTTAAATAACTAGCAAACTAAAATAAATCATCACAAGCTCTAATGCAAAACAAATAAATGAAAATTTAATTCATACTATAATACAAACCTTAATACCTAGAAGTAAGGCAAGTCTTATTCTGATACATTTATTAATGTTGAACTGTAAATGCCTCAAAAAAAATTTTTTTTTAAATCACTATTTTAAAAGGAGTATCTTATTTACAGAGTGCACTTCAAAAGGCAGATGAAGAAAGAAGAATTAGGCCCTAAGTGATTACCACTCTTAGAAACACGCTAGAACCCATTCAGATTTTCTCCTAAATTTTCTGAAAAACTGAAAGCTGCCTAAATTTCAGTGCGAGAGCTCAAGTTCATCTGCCATGATAATTGAAAATAGTCTGTTTCTAGGATTTTAAATTGTGAAAGGATGAAGGGATGTAAAGCTCAGTAATGCATTCCAGTACCAAACTTCATAAGCTGTAGCTGCCAAATCAATAGTTTTTAAATAATATGTTTAAAACCTTTACCATCAAAGTAGCTTCTCTCATTAGTCACTAGGCCTTCAGAAACAAGATTTGATGAATTGTTTGTCTTTTTTCCAAGTATATACTTACTAAACAGAAAAAGTTTAGGAGTTTTGGAGGAGATTTTTCTTCCAAGTAGCAATTAATCAAACATTCAAATGACAAATCCTGCAATAACTACTCATGGTAGTATTTAATCATAAGGAAAAAATTTTCCAAAGCCAAGAGAATTTGAAAACACACAGGAATGAGTTCTGACAAAATAATTTCTCTGATCATTCCCTGCACTTGCCCACTGCCAGAAAGCTGTTGAACTCCCAGACACTAACCCCCCAGGACATTCCTGCCCACAAGACAGCCGCTGCCATGTAAATGTGCCAAAGTCCAGGGCCAGATTCCAGTTCCCTGGTTACAACTGCTTTCAGGATTTCTGCTCAGTGGCAAAGGCAGCTCCAGATCTTGATGAGATTAGAGAATCCTCAGAAGAGAAACGCACCAGGAAAAGGTGGGTTTCTCCCTGACCTTCTTTCCAGCTTACCAGTTCCCACCAGTTTTCCTTAGAGGTCATATACAGGAGTCTCCACAATAATGATACCTTTAGGTTTCTCAGCAGCCAATCCAGCATAAGAAATGCCCACCTCTGATCTTGGCTGTTTGCTCCCCTCCATGTTGCAGTCTCCCATGTCCTAATTTGCAACACCACTGCTTTTTCCTGGTTTAGTATCACACAAGCAGGGCTTATGCTAAAGACAGTAATTACTTTTTCAACACATTTTCATCTTTCATGATGTTAGTGTGGTGTCTAGAGAAACCTCCACAAAGAACAAGATCTCAAACTAGTATTTATTTTCTTCTACCTGTTTTACTGCAAATGCTTTATTTTTCTTCTTGCTTTTTTCCCTGAGCACTGATCTTTCACTACTGCCAATCTGAATTTTGGATATTTCAGAAACATAAATCCAGGCAAATACTACATGAGCATGCTACAGTGCATTTTAGGGGCTCAATTTTGTTCAAATTCAAGTAATTGTCATCTTGCCTTCTGCTTCAGCTGGGAAAAGGCTAAACCTTGACAACCTTTTGAGGTCCAACCAAAGAAGCCTGCAAGGTGCCACTGTCTCCTAAAGTTAATGGAAAATGACAACAGGCAGAGACTTTCTGCATCTTCTTAAAACAGTGTGATCTCCCTAAAGCACAGACAACTTTACCAGAATATGAAGTGAGCCCCCAGTCCTTTTATATATGGATTTATACAGATACACATACAGGCAGACATCTTACCTTCTCAAATCATTGCTCCAGAGCTCACTAGATCAAGACCATAAAAGGTATGTCAGTTATCTGCTAGACAGCTATGACTCAAAATACCTGTGTAAGTGCTTTGAAAGAGGACCAAATCACATTTCATTTGGTGGGAGGCTTTAAAAAACACTTAACCACATTTCATTTACAAGAAGGTTTGCAGTCTAGCACATCCAGAAGAGATAAAAACTAACAGCTATCATTTCATTATATAACTATGAATTAGTTTTAGAGGCACAGGCTGGGGAAGAGGGTAACATAATTGTGGGCCTCACCGATTCAAACAAATTGTAATGGGAAAAACTATATTTGCAGACCTTCCCCCCTTTTCTAGCATCTGAAAAACTAAAACCTATGGAAAAGCAGCTCAGTACCAGCATGAGTTGAGCAGGATGATCACCTACATAGATGCACATTTCCACTTTACTACCCCAGAGCTGAATCCTTGTCAAATTAACCTTCAGATCAATGCTGGCTGTGCACAGAAGAAAGTTTCAGGCGTCTGAACTGATTATTTCTTCTGCACAAGCAACATATCAGTTCTGAGGTAAAGCTACCAACCAGATTACATCCAATAATTATTTTAAGAAGAAATACAATGCAATTAAAGCTAGGTGGGCACTTTGTTTGCTTTCTTAAAATAAAAACTCTCTTCATTTTTTTAAAAACCTGACATGTAAGAAGCCTGCCTAAATGAGATAACTAAAACCAGAACTGCAAATGGACTAAGACACCTCTTCTTACAAATAAGACATAAATTATTCCTAATGCAAGGATGTCCCTTTGGTAAACAGAGACCATTTGTATAAACTAAAGCAAAAAAAAAAAAATAATCAAGAGGCACAGCCAGGCAATACAAAAGGCCTGGTGTCAATGTATCACTCCTATAATCAAAGTAAATGCTTCATTAACTAAAATTTAAATGCTACATTTTTTCAATAAAAACATGCTAATTAGCAGTGTTAAGTACAACAACAGAAAACTGAAAGTATTTACATGATTGGTTTTCCTTTTTGTTTCTTTGATCCCATTGTATCTCAGAAAAGACTGACAGCTTTAGTAGATTTGGGAAACAAGTATTAAAAACAAAATAAAGACAAACGAAAACATAATCAATTCATTAATACCATATGGTAAAACAACTACCGATTTATAGCACTTTTTCAAACCGTCTTTCAGGTAATCAATTACCGAGGACTTTTTCCTCCTTTAAGCCGAGGAACTCTGGCCAAGCGCCGTGGCTCTGCCAGCTGCCAGCAGCACAACAGCTGGTAGAACTGCTCCCGCAGCTCCCGTTTCTAAAAATGCTCAATTTGGTTCGTGACATCCCATGACAGCAATAAAACAAAAGCGAATCCCTCCTAAACTGAGCAAATCCGTTGGCAAAAAGCACTGAAGAATTTAGGAACAACTTGTGAAGCTACTATAAAAACAGTTACTTCTCAAGTAGGTTTTCCTTGGCAAGTCAGCGCTGGCTTCACCAGGAATTCCATTTTCTACGTTTGACATGAAGTTACATTGGAAGCACGAAGGAATAAACGAAGGAGTGAGTTGTACTGAGAAATTTCCCTGAAATAAAAACTAGTTAGGAGATCACAGCCAGAGACGCCTCCCTCACACCAAAGGCAGCCAAGTCCCTGCA